GATATTATATCAGACCTTGGTGATTTGCCCAGTTTTAGCTGAGAAATTAGTTCCTTAATCTCTTTAGGGGTGACCAGAGGCCACTCTGGGAATTCCTTCAGCAGAACTTCACCCTTAACACTGGTGGAGTTGTCTTTATTGTAAAACAAGATTGAGAAATGTCTGGACCAAATATTTGATTCGATGTTAGCTGGATCTAAGAAACTGCTTTTAGATGTGTTTTTCACTATGCCCCCAAATAGTTTGGATTTTCTAAGGGATATTGGGGTGAGTAGTTGCTTCCATTGGTTATGAATAAAGGCTTGTCTTTTTTCTTACACAAGAATCTGATTCTTCAGTTCGTAGAATTCATGTCAGCTCCTATTCTTTATATTGTCTTAAAATCCTCCTTAGCAGAACTTTTCAGTCTCTTCTCTCATGATCAATCCCATTTGGGGGGTTTGGCCTGTTGTGTTCTTGAGTTGGATTATGACTTAATGTTTCCAATAGGAATGCTATCATTCCTTCATAGGAGCCAATTAAATTACTAGGATCATTTGCCATCATAATGGAGAATTTGAAGTCTAATAGTATTTTAGATGTTAACAGGTGGGCAAACGTTATGGCACCAATTCTCTCACATGATATTCTCAGATATATAGCAATACTTTGGCTGATATTCGGCTGTCCTCCATGATCATGTCATGGATGGCTTTTACATTTGCAGGCACAGAGACAGAAACAGGCCTTCCACTGGGTTCCTCACTTTCAACACTGAAATGGCCAGTTTTAAAATTGACAACCCAATATTTAACTGTTGCATATGAAGGGCCACTGTCCCCCATAGTTTGTGACATTTCATCATGGATCTGGCTTGCCCCTCCCATAGTTTGTGACATTTCATCATGGATCTGCTTTGCACCTTTCCCTTGGAGAAACAGGAACTTGATTATGGTCCTATACTCTTCCACACTGAACTTTTCTGAAGGTGCTGCCATGTTCACTTTGGACTTGAACATGAAAGCTAAGTTAAAATCATAGGCAGTTGATTTTTGCACCATTGAATACAGCCAAATTGGCCAATACACCCTGCAAATTATAGCTTCCTAGCTCAATTTTTTCTGGGAAAGGCTTGATATTTATCAGCACCCCCTCGTATAACTCCCTTGTTACAGCAGCTCCACTGGCTTTGAATTGTTTCCAGACGCAATTCAAAGTGCTGTTTGTAACCAATAAAGCCCTAAACAGCTTGGGTCCAAGTTATCTCAAGGACTACATCTCCTTTTATTCTTTTTTATATTTATATACTTCCTATGTTTTGCTTTTAAATATTGTCTTTTTTAATGATATAAGACACCCTAGGTTCCTTTTAAGGAGGAAGACTAGGTAAAAATATTTCAAATAAATAATAAATTGTTATGTGAAATTTCATGAGCTGCCCTTATCTGCTTTTTTCCTTCTGAAGCAGACCGCACATCCCCACCCCCTTCTTGACATGAAGTCTCTAATAACACGGGTTCACGCATTGGTTATGTTTTGCTTTTAAATATTGTCTTTTTTAATGATATAAGACACCCTAGGTTCCTTTTAAGGAGGAAGACTAGGTAAAAATATTTCAAATAAATAATAGATTGTTATGTGAAATTTCATGAGCCCTCTTGATGGAGAAACAGATGCCCACATCTGCTTTTTTTTCCTTCTGAAGCAGACCGCACATCTCCACCCCCTTCTCGACATGAAGTCTCTAATAACACGGATTCACACATTGGTAATCTCAAGGACCAACTATTGCAAAGCTCTCTACGTGAGGCTGCCCTTGAAGGCAGTTCGGAAGTTGCAGCAAGTGCAAAATTCGGCAGCCAAGTTGGTCATTAATGCATCTAAATTTGACCGTATTTCATCCATCCTGGTTGGCCTTCATGGGCTGCCAGTATGCATCCAGGCCACAATCAAGGTATTGATGTTAACTTATGGGGCCCTTTGCCATTTAGGACCTCTCTACCTGTCAGAGTACCTCTCCCTCAGGTCATCCTCCCATCCCACATGGACTTTGCTACTCCATGAGAGGTATGGAAGTTGTCAATCAGAGGCCGAGTCTTTTTGGTAGTGGCTGCCCCACTCTGAAATTCCTTCCCTGTGGAGATATGATTGGCCCCCACCATCCTACTGTTCTGTAAGCAAGTGAAAACCTGACTTGTTACCCAGGCCTTTACAAACCTCACCTCTTTGTAATATTAATTTTGTACTGAGTTTATGCTGGCCCATGGTTCACCAAACTTTTTTTGTTATTATATGTTCCATTTTTTAAAATTGTTGTACAGCATATGTTTGCTATTTCCTGGAGCTGCCCAGAGTATTGGCTGGTCCACTAACTTCTGACCCTGCAGCACAGGTTTCTGCGGTTTAGCCCACAGCGCCACCACGTCCCCTTACTGAGTTTATGCTGGCCCATGGTTCACCAAACTTTTTTTGTTATTATATGTTCCATTTTTTAAAATTGTTGTACAGCATATGTTTGCTATTTCCTGGAGCTGTAGGTGGGCTGCAACTTTAAATAAGTATGCAAACAATGGGGTACTCCTGAGACTAGGTGATGGGTTCTTGTGATGTCATGAGGAGGGCCTTTGTGATTTCAAAGAGATGGGGCAGTCAAGGATTTGAGGAGAAGCAAGCACATCACACATATATAAAAAACTGCCACTTTAAGTCGGTGAGCCCTGCTGCATCAGTTGAGAATGGGTGGAGAAGGGTTTCCAGACTTCAAAGATACACATAGACATGAATCTTTCTCCCCCTGTAACACTGCTCACCCTGGGACGTGTCTCTTCACCTGGAGACTGAGAGTAGCACAGCAATTTCCTGAGACTTCTTCTGGAACCCTGAGAAGACCAGTGCTTTCTTGTCATTACACCCAAAGTGTTAGGAGGAACACTGTTTAAATGGCATTTTTACTATATTTTAATGGTGAAGGCATAAGAATTATGTTACTGCACTTTTGGAGTACAGTTTCATTGTGACGTTACAACTGGCTTCTGGCTGAATGGTTGTGTTGGCAACAAATAAATGGGGATCACTTCCAGACCAAAAAGCAACCTTGAAGACACCCAGGATTGTGTTATCAGTGTCTGATAATCCTGAAGCTGAGACTAAATTCTCTTGGTGGATCTGTTATGCAGAACCTGGAAATAACATGCTAAAGTTAAAACATGAACATTGAATTTGCTGCCTTCCCCAATGAATGGGAGGGAAAATATTTATCTAATGCTTTAAAGGTATTGCTAACATTGTTTCTAGATTTTTGAAACTTTATTTAAGGTCTATCTGTGTATCTATGTTCCTCCTCCCTAGAAAGAAGGCATCCATATATCTCACTACAAGAATTTTATACAAGTGATTCTTAATTTTGACAGCAGATTTTTAATGGAGTGAAACTCTCAAAAGCCCTTAACCAAATTAACCCATTCATTGGTAGAGTTTCTGGTGCTGAGTAGCCCACAGAGGAGGAAGACTGGGGGAACAGCCTTTGTTAAGACTAGACTTTCAGCCAAAGCTGTAGGCCAGAATCTTACTGGTCTTCATATAAGGTTTCTGTAACTCATGTGGATCATTGCAGCTAATTGATGATGAGCCAGGGAACATCTCATGTGATTGGGCACATGACAGTGTACATAACTGAGATATATCTTGACACCTTGTTAATTAGCCATAATTAATTTTATGGTCACACGAACCTCAATCGGATTCCAGTAATTTGAAATGCATTAGGGGCTCTGCATAGAATTGGTCCAATTGGCTATTTTTTTTTGTCTGTGGGTGGAAAAATAAGCCCTGATGTTAGGTAGCACATAGTTCCTCAGTCTAATATTCTGCACATATGTTGGAAGCACCATCCATTGCAAACAAATATACAGGTATTATGGGATTTGTAGTCCACCAGGAAAAATGCCAGACTGGAGGCAACTTCACAGTGACAAAAAAAAGCACTTTTGAAGGAGTCAATATCCTACTAGGGTTTCAACAGTGGAAACCTACACATTTAACTAATGAATTAATAAGACCAATTCAATTAACTGAATGTTTTCTAATCATTAACAGCAAGAAATTAAGCTCTCCGTTTCTAATGTTTAACATCAATTAACTAATTCTGAGGCCTAATTCTCAGAACAGGTTCTACTTATTTAGAAGATGTTTGTGGAAGTCTGAGGAGAAACTTTCCTCATCCAAATCTGGTTTGTTTTTTGTTTGTTTTAAAGCCACTCCAGCTGCAAACAAGCAATTATTTTCTCAGGGTAATCATATTTAGCCATGCCATAAAAGACTTACGCTGGTGAAGAAAAAATAATTTACACTTTTAACTGATGACAATCAGACAAACAAGCCAGGGTTAGCCTCCTGTCTAATGAATAGGTACAATAAAATGTTTGTGTCAGACAGAAATCAGCATGGGCTTACCCATAGTACCATTGTGGGATGTAGAACAATAAAGCCGTTGGCAGGCCCAGGTTAAGGGATGAATATTTGCCTGTTCTGCCTTCCAAAGGTATTTACAGAAGCCTTTGGTAGCTGTCCACTCTGTAAAGAGATGATGACATCAAGAAGCCAGGTCACAAACATGAGTTTATAAGTGTTATACTTTAAATTGGGAGGCTGTAGGGTGGGGGGAGGTGATCCATTCAGTACAATCTTCTGACCCCCACAGGTTTACAGCCTTCCTCTCTCTGCCCCATAGCACCTCTTCAGTCTGGAGTTAATCATTTCTTTGTCCTTATCTGCCAAGAGTTCTTATCTCTTTTTTTGCTGTCACTTTATAACAGGGTCTTCTTATCAACCTGTTTGGAGTCATGTGACCCAGCCAAGCCTATTGCAGCTCCTGATTCTTCTGATTAGAGACTATCATGAAATGGGATGGCTCGTTTACTGAGGGTCACTAATGCTCGAAAAAGTACAGAGTCCATTGAAAAACAGGCTTGTTACTTTCTGAATTATTGAGTGTATGTGTGTGTGTGTGTGTGTGTGTGTGTGTGTGTGTGTACGCGCACGCGTGTGTGTGCTCTATTGATGGACTGCTCCCTGACTTTCACTGAAGGTTACTGTAGCCTCCATCCCAAGGCCGGAGAAGTTTACAAGCCTCACCTTTCGCTGTGCTCAATGCTGTATATCCGTAACCCAAGGGCACTATATATTTCCACCTAATTATGTCTTCTGGTTCGGATACTAGCAGCACACCGGAACCTATAAAACATGGGCTTCTTCCAGGTGGTAAGTAAGAGCTTTTTACTGACTATTTTGATAAGCCTGTCAGACAGAATCATCATTCAACATTTTGTGTGTCTCTGTGTGTGTGCGTGTGTGTGTGTCTACACACAGACACATACATATAAATATGTGCATATATATGAAAAGCAAACACATTATTAACTGAGTAAGCAAATATTCTTCCAGATATGATATATTTATTACAGTCATGATGTAGCCAGATCAAGCACTTTGAAGTCCCACTTCTTTCAAAACAAGAGTTAAATACTTATATCCTTGCCATTTACATACAACAGGACTTCAACGTGTTAAAGTGAGGCTAGATTTACTCTATCAAAAGAACATTATAATTGTGGTCTGAAAACAATAATATATATATAGAGAGAGAGAGATACATAGATATATACTATAGATATATACTTCTCTTGATAGTGTCACATTTGGCTATGGAGTTGCTTGGATAGTATTTCTTGCTAATACATAATACTCATGCAGCGGTATGGAAATAAACTGAAACTCTGATGGAACTGTGGAAGACTGTAGTGAACAAAATGCAAAAGATTTATACGTATATGAGATTTAGTAGGTACATAATCATATAATCACAGTCATGTGCACATTTGTTCAGTTTTGCTAATAATCAAATAAGGCCCTCAGGTAATGAAGGAATGTCAGGAATGACAAAAAAATTTTTTTTAAAAGACAGGCCATCCTTTTGAGGTAGTCAATACATTATTCTTCCCCACTGATCCATTTAGCACAAGTTTCTGGGTACTTTCAATTTCTGACATTTGAATAGATGCAGATTAATACATCTAAGAATGTAGAGCAATATGACAATGGAAACAATTACCTCAAGAGCTAGTGAGAGTGCCAACGCTGGAGGCATTCAAGGAAAAAAAATAGACAATCATCTGTCAGATCTGCTTTGATTTAGATTCCTGCACTGAGCTGGGGGTTGGACTCGATGGCCTGATGGGCCCCTTCCAACTCAGTTTTTTTATGATTTTATGATCTATCAGACACACCCTGTTCAGTGGAATGGAGGCTCTCTTGCAAAAAATGGGTTGCTATGCTATGGCCATTAATTGGATTTTTAAAAAATAAATAAATTCTCTCTCAATCCTTCTGAGTGGTAGTGGCAAAATAGGTGAGAATTTTATACTGAGTAAATACACCTTCCATGAAATCAGCAAAATTACAGCAGAAGCAGCTGGACTGTATTAACATGAGAATAGGCAGTCTTCGGATGTGTATTTTTCACAGATTTATTTTAACAGATCATGGTTGCCATTCTAAACGCATAAGTACAAGACGCTCTGTACTTTCTTACTATTAAACCCATGAGACACCACTTCTTATCACACTGAACATTTACTTTCCAAGTTAATGTGCAGAGGATCACCTTGCTATATTCTCACTGCAAGCAAAAGCATATTCTTTGATACCACCTTAGACTATAAAACTATGCACATTTACCCGTGTGTAGGCCCCTCTGAACACAGTACAACAGACCTCTGAGCAAACTCGTTTAGAATCACTCCATTAGAAGCATTATTTTAAAAGCACTGTGTTTTTCACATAAGAAAAATCAAGACATACACCGGCTTTTTGAGCACAACTCCTATATACCTAAATGATTCAGAAATAAATTTTCAATCAGTTTTTTAAAAAATTAAGACTTCAAATTAATAACAAAGGTGTGGAACATATATGTTAGCTAACAGGGGTTAGTAAGGCCTGGTTTGCTGTGTTCTTAAACTGCAGTTCCGACGCTAGCTGCTCACATTTGCTTTCTTTGACCGTCCATAGTTTCAGAGTTCTCAGGCCAATCTTTATGAAATGCGGAGCTGCCATTCTTGAGGCTTTCCTATGCATTCATCGGCATGAACAGAAAGTGCACTTTCCCCTCTTGCTGGGACTTTTATCACCAACAGCGTATCAAGTGAGAAGAAGCTCATAAAATGGCATTGAGTTGTGTATGCTCTTCTTTCTACAGTCTCGTAACCTAGTCCCGTGCATATCTGTTCAAAAGCAAATTTGCATACAGTTGAAGCAGGCTTTCTTCTGGGGAGGCTCATTTGGATCCATGGTGCAAAGAATTTTCTGCAAAAGAAAATTGGAATATATCTGTAAAGTATCTAGCCTAGCATGTCCAATCTACATTTGTAGGGTTAGCAGTGGACTGGCTGCTCTATATTATCTGATCATCTGTCTTTTTGTTGTATGTTCTCTCAGTCTGTCTCTCAAACTGTCTGGGGAATTAGACTTGATCTATAAAAGCTCACATTAAAATATAGCAGAACATTTCAGAACATTTATGTATTTTTGTTTTTGATTTTATTTATTTTGTTTGATTCCTTGCACACAACTACTTCTTTAAAAACTTTCCCTCTCTAACTAGAAATAGTTCAACTTCACAATAATTTTTTGCCAATAATTTATTGGCAAAGGTACTGCTTTTTTTTACAAATTTACATATTTGATTACAGGTTGTTTTTAATGGTTTAGACATGTACGTTCATGTAAAGTGGCAGCTTAACTGTTAAGCAAAGAATAAGGTGGTTGCTCCAGGCAACAGATCAGTTATAATGCAATTCTTCCAAAAACCTCTGGTTTATGAATGTGGAATTTTGGGCTTCTGTATCCATGATTCAAAATGCCAGGAAATAATCTGATATTTCTGCACAATATCACACCCATGATGCCAGCAGGAAAAAGGATGCCAAACTTCACCTAGCAAATGGCAGCCTGAACGCTGACAACACCAATGGCAGCAGTCAAGATGGTCTACAGGATACCTTGTTGTGCTCACTACCTGTAACATACAGCTCTGCTCTCACCTGTCTGTCACAGCTGGGCAGGGGAACATCAGCCAATGAGAGGACGGAGGGTGGTGCAGAAGGGGGAGGAGTTGGATTATATAAGGGGTGTGTGATGTGTGACGGAGAGTTCTGAGAGTTTGAAGAGATGAGATAAATTGTTTGAGAGAGTGAGATAGATCTGTGAGAGTTAGTCAGTGAGGGAAAAGTCTGTGTGAGGTACATTAAATGAGAAACTTGATTTACGACTTGATTTACTACCTGTGATTCACTCCTTTTATTTTGTCAAATCAATAAACTCAGTTTTTGTTTTAGAAGAAACACTTGTCCTTTTTGTATACTGAATAATCTTTGGTGGCAGCAGTAGAAGAAGAGTAGTGAGCACTCTTGAAGGCCTGTATTGGTAGATGCTTCAGAGTGGCCCGCTACACTACCATTCACAAAGTGACACCAAGCAAGGGAAAATCTCAGAAGCTTATTCTTTTTTTCAGCAGTCTCTCTTTTCATCACATGTCACCTAAACACAAAGCAATTGTCGGGGCTATTTTTTGACAAGTGTGAATGGCAGTGGGTACAAGAAGGTATCCTGTAGATCATCTTGACTCCTGTTACTGGTGTTGCGAACATTCAGGCTGCCTTCGCTATGTAAAGCTTGGCATCCTTTTTCCTGCTCCTGCTGGCAAATTGAGCCATTTCCTGACATTTTGAATTGTGGGTATAGAACCACAATACCCCACATTCCTAAATCAGAAGTTTTTTGAAGACTTAAAATTTCCCGGCTTTTTAAAACAGAAGTTTAGGTATACGTACACTGGACACAAATTGCAGCAGAAACTTTCCTCGTGTAGAATTATCTATTGCTAGAGATTCCGAAAGAGACCACATGACTATGGTTGCTGGGACAGGACAGGAGCAAGAACAGATCAGATGTGGCAAAAATCCCTCTATGCTAAAATATTTTGAAGAATTGTTTTTGTACTTAATGAAATGGTGAAGTGCAGGTCTAAGTGCAACATATACAATGGAGAAAAGCAAATATCCTTTAACCTTTCCAATCCCTTCTTTGAGTTAAGCAAGCTGAGGAAGAAAGTTATGTCAGACCAAAAGCTCTATAAATTGTGTGTATGTTTTTCAAAAGATGTCCCCTCATCTTTTGAAATTGAAATAAAAAAATAAATGAACAGCTGGGAGTCAGCCAGATTGTCAGTAGAAGGTAAAGTTTCCCCTTGACATTTAGTCCAGTCATGTGCAACTCTAGGGCGCAGTGCTCATCCCCATCTCCAAGCCATAGAGCCAGCGTTTGTCTGAAGACAGTTTCCATGGTCATGTGGCCAGCGTGACTAGGCATGGAACACCATTACCTTCCCACCATGGTGGTACCTATTTATCTACTCACATTTACATGCTTTCGAACTGCTAGGTTGGCAGTAGTTGGGACAAGCAATGGGAGCTCACTCCATTGCGTGGATTCGATCTTACGACTGCTGGTCTTCTGACTTAGCAGCACAGAGGCTTCTGTGGTTTAACCTGTAGTGCCACCACGTCCCTTTTTGTCAATGGAAACCAAAGTCAAAATCATCCAAAGTCAAAATCAACCTTGGAAGGATAGAATGCCGAGTCACCCATGAGCCGGCTACCTGGGATTGAATCCTGGGTTGTGAGCACAGTTTTGGCTGCAGTACAGCAGTTTAACCACTGCGCCACAAGGCTCTTAACAAAAATCATCTCATTTGTAAAGTAGTGTTGGAGGAGAGCCATAGACAATCAGAAAGGCAGAAAAAATGGGTGTTCAGTTAAGTCAAGCCTGAACTCTCACTAGAGCAAAATGAGTAAACTGAGGTTATCTTGGGATGATAAGGCTATCATTGGCTGCTAGATACCATAGCTAAATGTATCATCCACATCCACCAGTGGCATACCCAAGACCAGACTGAGTTTTGATTATTTGTCCTTTGGATCAGTCGTATGGACTGGTAAGTGATTTTATCTCACCACACACCAGAGGGCAGCAGGCTAGTTTAAGGAGTGCGGGACAGGAACACCCAACACAGGCTAGCAAGCTCAGGAGGATTGGCTAGGTGGCAACTACTGCTACCCTCTGGTATCAGCTGCCTGAGTCAGATGCCTCACCTTGCACAACTGCAAGACCAAACCTCTGTTCTCTGTTGATTAATTTATCCT